TATAAGTTTATTTCAGATATGCAGACAACAAAAACAAGCTCAAAAAGTTGAAAATGTTTGCTGATGAAAGCAGGATTGTGGATTGGAAAGAAATATGGCAAGGTTCTCCTATATGTCCTTAAAAAATTTATTGTATTATTTGATTTTACTGTTATATACATGTTACTTTAGATACTAACTTTTTAAAATTGGAAGCTTAATACTTATAATACACATAGCATAGAGCCTAGTACAACTTAGGTACTTGACAAAGGGGTGGGAGGGGAAGGAAGGGGGCATGGGTGTAGAAAAGATGGTGGAATGAGATGGACATCATTACCCTAAGTACATGTATGAAGACACGAATGGTATGAATGTACTTTGTATACAACCAGAGATGTGAAAAATTGTGCTGTATATGTGTAATATGAATTGTAATGCATTCTGCTGTCATATATAACAAGTTAGAATTTTAAAAAATGAATAATAGGTACTCAATATATACTAGCTATTATTATACCAAGATTATTAATTCTAAGAGTCATTCAAGTCCCAAAGTACCTGTTTTAAATGAAAGAGAATCATAAACCTACAAATCCAGAGAAGTTACTCACTGTATCTAAATATATGCAGTTACTTGATAGTAAAACCAGAGTTGTAATATATATATATTTTTAACTCCAACTTCTTGAGTCACATTGTGGAAAATTCAGAGAGGACCTTTGAGGTTATTTGTGGCTGGTAAATATGGTTGTAAGCAGGACTGTCCTTTCATAGTCCAGGCTGGAATCTACCCTGGTTAGATAGTTTATGCTTGATAGATGGACAGATGGCTAGAAAGACAAATAATTTAGATCTGGCAATAACTTAACCTAAGATGCTACCTTTTCATTATAATGAAACAACGCCTGTCTTTCACTATTTATCTTCACAAAGGAAAAGACCTAGGATTTGGGGAAAACATAAAGAAAAGAGATATACAACAGAAGCATTGTTTAGATGTACTATTTTCAATGTCTTAATAATTGGGGAATTTTCAGCTTAATTGTTGTACATTTAAAACCATATGAAACTCTAGAGAAATCTGTCTGCTGAATTTATGTGGGCCCCAGCTTCAATATAAGTGTATGGACTTCATGTAGCTCTTCCTTATATTATAAATAGAAAACTGAAAATCTTGGAGGGGAAAATAGGTTGCTGACACTTAGCAAATAATTATAAACTGCCTTTTGGGGATTTGTTATCCTAGACCTAGAAGTTTTACTTTAAAGGGAATTGGGAGATGGGAGTGTTAGGAAACTGGAGGTAGATTAAAAAAGAAACTTGGTAACAAGTACAATTAAAAGATTGTGCACTGAACATTTACATTTTATGGTTAGGGCATGTGATAAACATTGTTATATGAAGATAACCATAGCTCTAATTTCTTTGAGAACATTATTTTGAAGCCTATATTTTAATAAGAACATGCTGCATCTTTTAAGAAGAATCAAGAATTTTCATAATTTGAATATACTACCATATTAGGATTCACACCGTTATGGAGGCCAAGTCCCAGAAGAGCCAACTTGTAGATACGTAGTCTGAAAGTTGGCAGCTTCCAGACACAAGAAGAGGTGATGTTTCTTTCAGGTGAATGCACACAGCAAAAAAAGACCAACGTCCCAGCTCAGTGAGGCAGAAACTATTTCCTCCTGTGCAGCCTTTTCTACTCTGTTAAGCTTATTCAGATGCTTGACTGTCTGGATGAGGTCTGTCCACTTAGGAACGATGCTGTGGTTTGAATGTCCCCTGCAAAACTCATGTTTAAAATTACCACTGTAACAATATTAAGAAGTGGGGCCTATAGGGGTGACTAGGCCATGAGGACTCTGCTCTCATTCATGGATCAATTCTCTTATCGTGGGAGTAGATTAGTTATAGCGGGAGTAGACTAGTTATACTGCGAGTGGGCTCCTAGATTAAGGATAAGTTTGGCCCCCACCCTTTCTATGTCTTGTACAAACTCACTTTTCTTTCCATCATGTTATAGTGCAGAATGAATGCCCTCACCAAATTCTAGCCCATGCTTTTGGATTTCACCACCTCCAGAACTCTGAGCCAAATAAACTTCTGTTGTTTATAAACTACCTCGCCTGTGGTATTATAGCATCAGAAAGTGAGCTAAAACCAGGCAGTCTGCTTTACATGGTCTATTTGCTGATTCACGTTAATCTCATCCAGAAGCATGCCCATAAACACACCCAGAATAATGTTTGACCAAATGTCTAGACACCCTGTGGCCCAGTCAAGGTGACACATAAAATTAACCATCATAAATACACAGACAAAAATTATTGGAGCTTAAATGTGGAATTATATGAGAGAAAAACAAAAAATGGAATGGAATGAAGATATAGAGGGAAAATCTGAGTCATTCAAGGTAAAGACCATTCTTATGCTAGATAATAGTGAATTATTTTGATCTCCAAATAAGAATTGAAGATGATATTTGAGTAAAGTCATCGTAGCAGTTAAATTAGGATATTATGGGGCTGGAGTTTACTCAAGTGGTAGAGTGCTTGCCTCATTTGTGTGAGGTATTGGGCTTGATCCTCAGCACCTCATATAAATAAATGAATAAAATAAATGTTCATTAACAACCAAAAAAAGTATTAACTTTAAAAACTTAGGATATTATGCTTAATAAATATCTTAATGCCTAGCTTATATACTCATTAATAATATAATCCAACACCATATTTGAGGGGGATCATGTTAGCAGTTAAGATGAATAACAATTTGTAGGCGTTGCAATTTAGAATCCAATAGTTTAAAGGTCCCCTAAGGTTTGCCAATCTGTTTTGTAAGATAGTGCTGTTATATTTGATTTGCTCTTGCTGCTTAGGTGTACATGGAAATTTTTAGAAGTATTCCAATGATAATACATTTGTTGGTGTAGATACTTTATTTACCTGATCCATTTGATCCCCTCCTTTGGTAGAGAAGAAAAGGTCAAATTACTTCATGGGAGAGTAATTTTGAAGCATAGGACACATCAGAATTGGACAGGCCCTGGTAAGATAACCTAGTGATAACTTTCAGTGCCAGTGGCATACTAACTAGGCAGAGCCCTGGGTGTTCTAGGGAGTGCTGCAGTGCTAATGCGAGTAAGAGTATTTTATTAGTTGAGAGTAATTAGAAAATCAGGTAGATAAATTTTGGCTGATAAACATGACAACTTTGGAGAAGGTGATTTATCATGTTGAACTCTCCTGTGTCTTTGTTTTCTATTTTCACTATCTTTCTGGTTGTACTGTTTAACACATTTTTATAAACTGACATTTTAAACAGTGTGATAGAGATTATTTATATGTAGTATGGGCAAACCATTTAGTAATTGGGGGATACATATTTCTCCTGATCCTTTCTTAGCATGAGTGAACTTACGTATATCTACGTATTGATTTTCAGTTTTCAAATCACTATACATTTAAGAACACAAAAAAGTTACTTAATGTACAATGCTGCCTCTGGTTCTCTCTGTGTGTGCAGCCAAATGGATATGCAAACTCATGTTGTTCGACACACTGACTGCATGTATTTTAGCTGATAGAAATGTTTGTATTTGAAAAAGAATATGTATACATATTTTCCTGACACTTCCAGTTTTTAGAAAAAGTATGTTCATACATTCTTAAAACTGTTGAGTTTATTTTTGGGTAGATACATCATCTTTTAAAAAACCTTTTCCCCAAGATTTCTTTTTAAATGGTTAAATTTAAATTTCTATATTTAGGTAGGATTATGTTTATATACCAACCACCAGTATCCAGGAAATTCAGTGGTAAATCTGACAATAAGGAGTTTATAGTCTGTTTTGTAGTCTGTATATTTACAGAAGGTTTGAAGCTTATTTAGTAAAATTGTGTTAACATTGAAGCTAAATTTCCTCAGCACAAATGCACTGTTTAATTTGATATAATTGTTAAGATAACAGTGCCACTTTTAAAAGATTAGTTTAGGAATATGTATTAGATTTATTTCTTTTAAAGAAGAATGCATTCAAGAACAGCTTTGATATGTAAAATGTTTATAATATTTCATATTGGATAAAGTTGCTTCAGTGTAATCAGCATGGCTTGATCATATTTGGAAGAAGTTACAGGCTCATTTTTGTAGTGTTTTCTCCAGCATCTTTATTTTTCTCAGATGGATGTATTTTATGTTCTTTCTAACTAATCAAAATAAGAAACTGAGTTTGTCTTTGCCAAAAAGTAGAACTATCATTTTTCACATTCTTTTATTTTCCAGGTCAGTTTCAAGTAAGATTGTGTTTCTAGGGCTTCAGAATTCCTGCAAACTTGACTTTGTAGATATAAAGGCCCAGATGAGCATTTCAAGGGGAATCTAACTTTTCATGCAGTATGTTTCGTGTTGTTGTGCATTCCAGATACAGTTAACTTTTTGTGTGCATGTGATTAGTGTGGAAAGAAATTAATGTAGTCCAGTATTATGATTTATGGACTGAATCCTTTCCTCACTGAAGACTTGCCAAAACTAAAAGTATTTTTTTTCCTTTGGATATTAGAAACAGCTACTGTTTTTGTTGATCTTTTAAAGTTCTGAATGGGGCTATTTCAAATCATACCAGCATGGGAGCTCAGATTAATAATATACTTATTCAGCTAGTGATACTGAGTGAAACCATTGCTCACATGGGTATGAAGGATAAAATTTCATAAAATTATTTTCAGGTGCATTAATGCATTTCTGGAAGCTGTGTATGATTTTTTTCTATTGCATGAAAGAAATCAAGGATTTCTGTTTATTATATCAGTTACAGGTGGGCTCATAATTTAATGACATTTTTTAATATCTTAAAACATAGGGTATTTTGCTTTTAAAAGCAATAATGTGATTGCTGAATTACTCCCAAAGGTTTTTAGTTCTTAGTATATTTATCTCTCTTGAGACATCATAATTATACTGTGTTTAATTTATATTACTGAGAAAAATTCCTAAATTTCCTTTATTAATAGTTACAGCAAGCTGCTGAAGTTTCTCAGCTGCGGGGAGCAAGAGTAATCTCTCCTGAAGATCTTCTGTTTTTGATGCGCAAAGATAAGGTAACATAAACCAACTTCATTGTGTTAAAATTCTAGTCCTAGTGTTTAATTGAACTCATAAGGAAACTGTGTCCTTATTATATAGCTTTTCATTTTGAATCATAACTATCAAACTAATGTTTTAGTCTATAGTTTACACACCAGAATATACAGGGAGAAAGGCACATATGTAAAGACACTTGTGTCAAAATGTGCTCACAACTAATCCTCACTTATCCTTACATGTCTGTGTAGGTATTTTCTTTTCTTTTTGCTTTTTGTTTTAAGTACTGGGGATTGAACCCAGAGATGAACCCACATAGCCATATCCCTAGCTCTTTTTACTTTTTGTTTTGAGACAGGGCCTCAGTAAGTTGCTTAGGGCCTTGCTAACTAAGTTGCTGAGGCTGGCCTCACACTTGTGATTGTCCTGCTTCAGCCTCCCAAGTCACTGGGATCACAGGCATGTGCCACCACACCCAGCACAATTTCTATTTTTTATAAACATCTCCTTTTTCTGTTTAAACTCTTGGTATTAAAATATTCACACTGCTCTTTGCCTAATTTTATAATTATTTTCCGAGTGTAGCTATTTGAAAATAGTTTATAATATTTAATATGTTTAGTTAATCATCTCTCAGTTAATAAAAAATATAAAGGGAGAAAAATAATGACTTCACTCTCAAGAGATTATGATCTGGTTTAAGAAATCTTTATGATTTGAAGAACCACTTTGAGGCTTACCAGAATTTCAGAGTTATGTGATTTAGATGGAGAGTCTGAAGGATTTGTTGAAGTTGGTATTTCTAAGGTGAAGCTTTCGCAGTCCTGCAGACAGGACCAAATAACCCAGGATGTTGGTTCAGTAATCAAGGCAAAATATGATTAGTATGGTGACTGGAAATGAGAAGGAAGAACTCAGATAAAAGTAAGCATTTGCAAGATTTGTTCACTCTTTTTTAAAACTTGGGAGATTTTTAAGGAGAAATTCACATCAAGTACTACATAGCAGTGGTGCTGTGAGGAAGAAGACTTGACTGCTATTGGCAGCAAGGAGACCCTAGAGCAGAGATTCTTTATAAAAACAGCTGGGAAACTACAGAGTTAGCATTAGTTCCTTGTAGAACATTTTGTCAGGTTTTTGTTTCACTGGTGGAAATAACAAAAGATCAGTACATCCTACATTCCACTCCAACATTTTTTCTTGCCCTTTTGTGGAAATCAAATTTTAAATCATATTTAAGCTTCAGAAATATATACCATTTGATACTACTTTCTACAGTTCAAAAGGAATCTTTTTACCAATAAAAGACATAGGTCTTAGGTGACAGTTGCCAGTTTTCTCATCTTTCTCTTCAGTAATAATTTTATTTATACACTGACATGTTTCAAGAATTTAAAGTAGATAGGTGAACTATCAGATAAAACAAAATGAAAATACCAAGTGGAATCAGAACAAAGAGAAAAGAAGTGTAGCCATCCATGGGCAGGTGGGTTTTTTCCTCTTAATAATTTCTAGTTTTGCCAGGTGCAGTGGCGCACACCTGTATCCCAGCAACTCCGGAGACTTAGACAGGAGGATCACAGGTTCAAAGCCAGCCTTAGCAAATGTGAGGCGCTAAGCAACTCTGTGAGACCCTGTCTCTAAATAAAATACAAAAAAGGGCTGGGGATGTGGCTTAGTGGTCGAGTGCCCTGAGTTCAATCTCTGGTACCAAAATTAATAATAATAATAATTTATAGTTTACATTCAAGCAGTAGTTATTGACTGCTATGTTTTACATATTGACTAAGCAGCTTCACCTTGTTTCATGAATTCTTCACAATAGGCATGTTAGGGAGGTACTTTTCTTTCTTTCGAAATGAATAAACTGAGATTTAAAAGTTATGTTCTACTTCTGGCTATGCTGAACTTTGGTTGTAAGACCAATCTTTACCTCTGTTTTCCTGTATATAAAATGATAATTATATTTGTCTATGTCTCAGGGCTATTGAAATGCTTGTGAAGAGCTTTGCAAAATGTGGTACATTTCAGTTATTATTAGAAATTTTGGACAAATGTTGCTGGCACTTGCCTGTAGTCCCACCTACTTGGGAGCCTCAAGGCAAGAGGGAAGACTGAATGTTCGAGGCCTGCCTGGGTATTTTATAGCAAGACCTTGTCTCAAAAATAGAAAAGGACTGGTGATATAGCTCAGTGGTAGATCAACTTGCCTAGCCCAAGGCCCCAGGTTCTATCCTTAGCACCACAAAACAAAATGAAAGAAAGAAAGAAAGAAAAAGAAGAAGAAAAGAAATCTTAAACCTGAAGGTCGGGAATCAGTCACAATGTCTTCTGAGTGTAAATACAAAACAGATTACTACTACGTATTACCAGTCACTTTTAAAGTTAAGTGGTATTGTAGTTTTCTAATAAATCTGAAGAAGCCCATCATTAATATCTAACTATCATTCATGATCTTTAAGTTTTTTAAAAATAGTTTAGGTTACAGTATAGTCCAAAATATCATACACAAACCAATTCTTTTGGTGAAAAGATCTCAGATGATAGAAAAAATAGATGTAAAGGATACATATATTTTTTAAAACAATTGTTATAAATCCATTATCTAGATGTTTATGAGTCACTTTTTAAAAATAAAAATTTGTGTATAAAAATTCTACAGCATAAGGATACTTAACCTTAGTATGGCAAATGTGGTATTTATTACAATCTTCAAAAAGAATTTTAAAACTTTTTATAAGACACACAAAAAAATAATTATTGTGATTCTGGAACATCTGGATACTTTCATAAGATAGGTAATTTTAAAACTACTTTTATTTTAGCATTTATATTTCATTTAATGACTACATATTTATTTTATAGAATTGTTCTATAGATTGCTGTATTTTCTCCAGTGATTCTAGGTTACTGGTTTATTAAATTTTATTAATCATAGTAGTCCTTATTAAATAAAATGAATATGTATGTAAGTTTTATTATTTACTTATTTCATGTTTTTAATAGAAAAAGCTTAGAAGACTACTAAAATATATGTTTATTCGAGACTACAAATCAAAGATCGTCAAAGGCATAGATGAAGATGATCTTCTAGAAGGTAACCAAAACAAAACACTAAGATTAAAAACAGTAGCTGTGACACATGTCTGTTGAATGACACATTTTTTTCAAAGTTAATGTCAATATCCCCTTCATATTAGGATATATATATATATATATATA